TATCACAAATCAACTCACTTCTTGAGAAACAAGAGGAAAATAGCTCCATTTGCAGGGAACCTTTAAAATTTAAACTTTGTAGTGTTGGAAATCAAACTGAGAGCTGATCTACATTACCACCTTCAAACATTATTTTTACAGGGAAAAACAAAACAACACAAATTGTGAAATAATTCAGGAAATTCTGCTCACCAACACCATCACTCTTCTCCTTGGTACTACCTAAGGGAATAAGGAAGTTCCAATGACTGGCACATTTTGCCCTACTTTTCCTCAACTTAATTTTAATACTTTCACTAATAACCTAGTTGCAACAGTCCCAAGAGAACTGTTTTTTAACAAAATCGAACATGCATTACTATCCGAATAGTTTTATAAGACAGCAAAAGCAGAGAAACATTGCTTTCTTATGTCACAGTTTATAGGGAACACCTCAGTGGGGCAGTAAAAGTCTTCTAGGGTTCCACTATCACATTCTTCCAGTGAAGCACCACCTAAAGCCTGTGATGATGTTTGGTGACAGCTGGGTCAGCATCATGAGAAATGGGATTTGAGAGGTCAAGTATGTGTGTTATCTTACAGTCTTTAGAAACAAAGATCAAGCCAGGCAAGAAGGACAATCAGTAGAGTTTGAGGCCAGCCTGGGATGCATAGTGAAATCCTGTCTAGAAAAACAAAAGAAAACAGAATCAGACTTCAACAAACAAGCGCATGAATGCTTTCACCCTAATGTATTCTGAGTCCTATTCTGAGATGACAACTATACCAAAAGGCAATGCAAAAAGGATGGCATTTCATTTTGCTTTGTTTCTCTGAGTTAGGGTCTCCCGTTGTCAAGCCTGGCTCCTAATCATGCCTCTATCTCTCTAGTACTGGAATTGCAAGTATGTGGTACTATACCCAGAACCACGGTAGAAGGTATTAACAGCCCAAAGTATCCAAGGGTGAGATGTGGACCAGTCAAGATAGGTGTATGGAAGATGGAAAGATGGCTCAGCAGTTAAGAGCATTGGCTGCTCTTCTAGAGGACCTGGGCTGCGTTCTTAGCTCTTACACAGTGGCTTACAATCACCTGTAACTCTAGTTCCAGGGGACCCAACACCTTCTTCTGGCTTCTGAGGGCACTGCATGTACATATGTAAAGACATATGTAAAGGACATATGTGGGCAAAATACCATACACATAAAATACTAAAATATTAAAATAACAGAGCAGGTGTGATAGCACATGTCTTTAATCTCAGCACTTGGGTAGCAAAGGGAGGTGGATATCTTTGAGTTTGGCATGGTCTATGTAGCAAGTTCCAGGACAGCCAGAGCTACATAATGAGATCCCATTCCTAAATAAGAGGTGTGCCTCCCTGTGTGTGTGTGTGTGTGTGTGTGTGTGTGTGTGTGTGTGTGTGTGTGTGTGTGTGAGAGAGAGAGACAAGGAGGGGAGGGGAGGGGGGAGGGGAGGGGAGGGGAAGGGAGGGGAAGGGAGGGGAAGGGAGGGGAGGGGAAGGGAGGGGAGGGGAAGAAGAATAAGAAAGGGAAAAGGGCGAGTAAGAGCACACTTGTTTCATGGTAGTGCAAGTCTGATCAGCCAATTAGACTCCCAAACCTCCACTCCTCCTACCTCAGCCTCTTGAGTGCTGGGACTGTAGGCACGTGCCTGGCCCTTATTCTGGTTTCTTTCCGGCTATAAACACAACTGGACCCCTCCTCAATCCTGGTCCCTGATATAAAACTGTAGGTACTCACTCTTCTAAGTCAAAAGAAGAGATACTTAGTCACTGGCCCTGAAACAAAATTTTCAAGTGTAACTCACTTAGGTATTATTCCTGAGCCAAAGTTAATTGGCCCAGGAATAATTAGCAGAAAGTTACATGAATTATGGTTAATTTTAAAAATACATTTATTGGCCAGGTGTTGGTGGCACTCACCTTTAATCCCAGCACTCGGGAGGCAGAGGCAGGCAGATCTAAGTTTGAGGCCAGCCTGGTCTACATAGCGAGTGCCAGTATAGGCTCCAAAGCTACACAGAGAAACCCTGTCTCGAAAACCCCCCCAAAAAAAAAAACAAAAAAAAAAAACCATTTATTTTATCTATGGGTGTGTCTGCAGATGCCTGAAGAAGCCAAAGACACTGGATCCCCCTGGAGCTGGAATTACAAACCACCATGAGCCGCCCAACATGGATGCTGAGAACTTAACTCCAGTCCCCTATAAGACCAATATGTGCTTTTACATGCCAAACCATCTGGCTAATAAACCTATAGCTAATTTTTATCTGTATTCATGCTGTATGTGCTATGTATATACAGATGTAGGAGAAACAAGAACTGAAGGCTACCTCAGGTAGTGGTGGTGCACGCCTTTAATCCAACACTCGGGAGAAGAGGCAGGTAGATATCTTCGAGTTCAAGACCAGCCTGGTCTGCACAGCCAGGGCTACACAAAGAAACCCTGTCTTGACAAACAACAAGAATAACGACAAAGAACTGAAGGTCAGCCTCAACTACAGGCACTGTGGGTTACTTTCTGTTTTCAAAGCAATCAGTTCCATTCCATTACTTCATTTTCCTGCAGGACACCTGAGCTTTCTCTCAACTTTCTCCTATTCCCACCTCTGGGAAAATACACAAAAATAGTCAACTAACTTAATCTTAGTGTTTCTAACACATGCAGTAATACTAGGCAAGCATATCCAACTATAATCATAGTGATAGTTACATAGCACTTTGTGGATTACAAAGCATCTTCACAAATACTCTGTCATTTGGTTTCATAACAATGTATTGAGGATGGTTGACAGAGTTATTTGCATTTCACAGAAGCCAGATCTGAAAGAGTGGAGATTTGTGAAACACAATTCCACATTATCAAATAATACTCAGAGCTAGCCAGGGCTAAGGTAACAGCTCACCTGGTAAAGTGCTTATTTGTCTTGCAAGCATGAAGGTTTGATTCCCAGAACCCACATGAAAAAGCTGGGTATTCCAGCATGGAGGAGGCAGAACAGGCAGATCCTGGGGCTCACTGGCCAGCCAGGCTAGCCTAACTGGTGGGTGCCAGCCAGTAAGACTTTTTCTCCAAAAAAAAAAAAAAAAAAGGCTAAGAGCAGCACAGGAAGCTGTCTTCACACCTGTGTACACACATACAAGTACAACCTCACACTTATGTGCAAAGACAAAAGATCCCTAAGCCACCTTTTTTTGTTAAGAGTGTGGCATGCTTGTAATCCAGCACTTGGAAAGCAGAGATGGGAGGATCTCGGCTACTGGTAAGCTTCAGCTACATAGTGTAGTGGAGGCCAGCCTCAGCTACATAAGACTGTCTTAAAACAAAATAGAGGGGCTAGAGATGGTTCAGAGGTTAAGAGCACTTGCAGCTCTTCCAGAGGTCCTGAGTTCAATTCCCAGCAACCACATGATGACTCACAACCATCTGTAATGAGATCTGGTGCCCTCTTCTGACCTGCAGGAATACATGCAGACTGCTGCAAAATCAATCAATCAATCAATCAATCAATCTTAAAAAAAAAAAACAAGCTGGGCATGGTGTCGAGTGCCTTTAATCCCAACACTACATTTTTTTATGATGTTGTTACACTTCAACAAAAAGGAAATACTAAGTAATATATGTTTGCTCAAGAAATGTTCCTTGATAACCCAGTCGCACAAAGACGAACATGGTATGTATTCACTCATATATGGATATGATGAGTGATTAGACATAGACCAAAGGATATCAGCCTACAACCCACACCTCCAGAGAAGCTAGGAATAAGGGGGACTCTAAGAGAGACATACATGGTCCCCCGAAGAAAGGGAAAGGGACAAGATCTCCTGAGCAAATTGGGAGCATGGGGAGAGGGGAGAGGGAGTTAGGAGAAAGAGAAGGGGAGAAGAGGAGGACATGAGGGACCAGGAAGAAGATTTGAGTCGGTGGAAGAATAGAGAAGGAGAGCAAGATGAGAGATACCTTAATAGAGGGAGCCATTATAGGTTTAAAGAGAAAACTGGCACTAGGGAAATGTCCAGAGATATACAAGGATGACCCCAAAGAAGATTCTAAGCAACAGTGAAGAGGCTATCCTAAATGCCCTTCCCCTAAAATAAGATTGATGACTACCTTATATGCCATCCTAGAGCCTTCATCCAGTAGCTGATGGAAGCAGAAGCAGAGACACACAGCTAAGCTGGCCTGAATTCCTGGAATCCAGTTGCAGAGAGGGAGGAGTGATGAGCAAGGGGGTCAAGACCAGGCTGGAGAAACCCACAGAAACAGCTGACCTGAATAAGGGGAGCTCATGGACCCCAGACTGACAGCTCAGAAACTAGCATAGGATGGAACCAGGCCCCCTGAACATGGGTGTCAGTTAGGAGACCTGGGCAATCTATGGGACCTCTGGTAGCGGATCAGTATTTATCCCTAGTGTACGAATGGACTTTGGGAGCCCATTCCCCATATAGTGTTACTCGCTCAGCCTAGACACATGGAGGAGGGCCTAGGCCCTCCCCAAATGATGACCCCCCAAAAAAAACCAAAAACAAAATGACACTGACAATGTTCAAGTTCTATTTTATACTATTATGATTTGCAAAATCTGTAACAAGCAAGGGCGATACATTTTAAACTCTTTTCTCTGCCTAGTTAAATTTTAAGACATTTTATTTATATTGCTCCTTAATTACAATGTTGGAGATATGGATTTATACAAGTAGCACTGTTATCTCTGAATGCTAATTTTGCTCATAGGTAATGGGTCTTTCTAATTATCATTTTCCCTGCTGGAAAGAAAACCAGCTACCTATGAGGCTTTGGGAGCAGAAAAGAGAGCAAGCAGGCTGGGAACCTGGACTGAAATGATGACTAGGAAAGGACAAGACATTAATAGTGCATCCTTTGAAATCCCCAGTCTAATTCCCAAGAACACAAGTAACTTTAAGTGGATGGCTAACTTAAGATTAGAAATGAAAACCCATGTTCAAAGGCCAGTCTTGATAGATTTTTACCTCCAATGCCAAGGCAGTCTTGTCATAAGCACAAGGTACTCTCTTCTGGATTGCTTTTGCAAAGACAGGTCCATTCTGTGTGGATGGCAAAGGGTTGATCGATGCCCCAGGAGTACTGGCAACTGTAGGTAGAGGAGTTGTGGTCTGAGGTTGAGCATATGCGTGAGCAGGTTCTGGGATGCCGTAACTATTAGAATTCCTATTTCCATGCTTTCCATGTGGCGAAGACCTCACAAGCTTTTCAACATAAGGAACAGGAATCATCCCAACCCGGCCATCCTTGTTCCGGGCACTCCACCACTGTTCTTCGGGCTTCTCTATTATCACTAGAATCTCCCCCTTTTTAAAGGGCAGGTCTTCAGCATCATTCCCAGGAAAATCATACAGAGTCCGTACATATTCCACATTTTCTTCTGCTGCAGACAAGTTGGGTGCTGAGACAGAACCCATTGGTGGGCTTGGATACCTTAAGAGAGAAACACAATTATTCTGAAGAAAAATCTTATCTGATTTCTATATCGGTATCTGTCAAACAAATCTACTAACCACCCTCCTCTATAATGAACTGTTTCTTCATTGTATTCTCAATAATTTAAGAATGTTTTGTCACTGTACATTCTGGTTGTACTATTGTCTATAACAATATCCTAAATATACTTTGTGTCATGTGTGTACATGGACACATGTACCATCATTCACAATGTATTTTGGAGGTTTGGTTTCAGATAACTGATATAAATTTACTTAACTTTTAAGTAAGTTCTGGCTGGGTGCTGCTGGCATAAACCTTTAATCTCAGCACTTAGGAGGCAGGCAGGTGGATCTCTGTGAGTTTGAGGCTAGTCTGGTCTACAGATTGAATACCAGGATAGGCTCAAAGTCTATACACAGAGAAACCCTGTCTTGGAAAAAAACAAAAAACAAAACAAAACAAAAAAACAAAAACAAAACTAAGTTTTGATACAGCCTTCTTTTGTTAGAACCATCACAGACATATTTCCTCACACTTTTCATTGATGGCTCACATCTGGTGTA